TGACAGTAGCCAGTCACCAGCACTGCTATGGCTGCATTCTTGGTCAAGGCTCAAAATTTGTCTCTGAGCTCTCTGGTCACTGGCTTTGGATTAGTAGTTCAGATGTCTTTGGGGGTATGGATAACATTAAAGTTATTTTATGCTGTTCTTCTTTATTGGAAAGCTGGATCTAGAGTTGGATTATGGCTCTCCCTTTGCTAGACCCAGGCGTACTTATTAAAAGCTTCCTCTATGTCGCTCTGTCAGTTGAGCCACCTGGCACAGTGACAGGGAAAAGAAATCAAAAATTAGATGTGCTTTATGTAAACATTCTATGCCTCAATATTTCTAACTTTATTTTGTTAGATGTGGTTAAAAATCTGTAAAATCTAAAAAATAATCTGAAAAAAAATTAAAACTAGTAACAGTTGGAGTTGATAGTTAAAAATCTATGCATGGGTAATTTTATAGGAACCACGTGTCATGATTCCATTTTGGATTGCTAGGATTGGAGAGAGCAGATGTTATGTGACTTCTTTGCCATCTTGATTAAAGGTGACCACATGAAATGGGCCTACCAAGGATGTAACAACAGGTCTCCAAATTATTTTGGACTAGGAGGGATTCTTGTATGATAATTCCTGTCCTGTCCTGAAAACAAAGTTTATGAAAGATAGGATTTAAAAAACAATGCTTATTTAATAGGGTATTAAAACTGCACCTCCATCCTTTTATACGCAAGAATGTACCTTGCTCTGGCAGCTAAACTTGGTAACGTAAGAGTTACCCAAGTGATAACAGTTTTAAAGACATGAAGGGATCATGGGGAACAGCTGAGGATTGCAAATGTGTAGCAGGGCTAGAGTTCCTAAAGAGAGCCCAGTTCCAATGTGTGTACCTCAGCAGTTTTGGAAATGCTAGTGCCATATGAAAAGCACCAGAAGCACCAGTCACAATGAAATAGAACAAGCTGAGATCTAGAAGGCAGGCTATGTATATGCTGAGGGTGGGCCAAAGAGGTGATACAAGCCTCTCAAGAAAACCCAAAGGATTGTGAATGAAGTCCCAGATATAGAGCTTTGAATTGTTTGCACTATTAGAGCTTGTTTTTGTCTTATGCAAATTGTAACTGTGCCATCTATCTTCCCTCTTGATATTGTAGGAACACACAGTTGAGAGATTTTAAACTTCTTTAAGAGAAGATTTTGGAGTTTTACAGAATTTAAATTAAAAAACTGGATACTTTTTAAGGAACAGTTTTTAAAGTATTTAAATTTATAAGGCTATAGACATTTTATGTTTATAAAATGTTTTATATTATTAGTATTTGAACTTAAAAATAAATAAAATGTTAAAAATTAAGGCCACAGCTATGACTACCAAATACTAAACACCAGAAACTGGGAAATTCCTATCTTATGATGTAGCAAGACAATGGCCTAAGCAATCTGGCAAAGAGCTTGGAGCAGCTTCTCAACCTATGGGTCATGACCCTTTGGGGTTGAAAGACCTTTTTCACAGGGGTAGCCTAGGACCACCTTCTTGTTGGATGTTTGCATTGAGATTCATGACAGTGGCAAAACTGCAGTTGTGAAATATCAACAAGAATGATTTTGTGGTTGGGAGGTCACCACAACATGGGGAACTGTATTGAATGGTCAAAGCATTGGTAAGGTTGGGAAACACTGGTTTATAGAACATCTCCTTACCTAAGGTCTATTCATGCTTGAGAATGTATGTCTAGCCTCATTTCTTTGTTAAGCTTAAGCTATTTTGATAAACTGAGTCATATAAGAAACTGTTATATTCTGTAATGGTGTACTATAAAAGGACCAGGAAATTAGTCTCTCTGTGGACTATGGTTATGAGTTAAAAGGTTTATTTTGATATTAAAGGAGCTTCAATTCAGAAATTGTTTTTTAAGACTTAAACTTAACAGAGATCAAACTATAAAGTCCTTTCCCAAGGTCAGGCATTAGACAAAAGCCCTCATTCCCTCAGGGGCTTGAAGAAAGTTTCTGCTTGCTAAAGGGAGCTATTCTCATCCCTGGCAAAAGGAACTTGTGGCCCTTCCATTAACACATGGCTGTGGTGCCTATTAACTTGTGAAGGGAAATGCTAGTCTCTAGGCTCTCACAGTCCTTGCTTGCAAGCCCTACCCCAGCAAGTCCTGGCCTTATGAAAGCTAATGAGTTATTGTAAACTCTTAAGGATATTAAGAAAAATCTGATTATATTTGGTATCCAGTGTGGGGCATGACCACACAGACAGAGAAATCACACCAGTCAGTGCTGCCAAAGTTGCTGCCTGGGCTTCTCCATGAGCACTCATAGAGACTCTGGAAAGGAGGCTCAACAACTTCTCAGAGCTAGGGCAGTAAATGCAGCTCCCTCCCGTACCACCAGCCTGAGGCTAGATTCTCAGGGAACCAAGATGGGCAGAGCCAGCTGCCAGAGCTATGTGGCAGAGGTCCTAGCCACCACCTAACAGTTTAAGCATTGGTTCACAGTCAGAGAACACTATAGACTTGGTGAAAAAAGCCAGGTCCAGGCCAAGAAAACCCCTGAAGATGTTACAATATGCTTGAAAATGTGCTTAGGTGCTAAAGAAAGAAAAAAAGGATATAGACAGTCATAAAAGTAAATAAATAGTTAATTAAAAATAATAAAGTCTTTAAAGAAAGAGTAAGGTAATATAAAAAAATAAGCCACATGTACTGGCTGGTTTTCTGTGTCAACTTGACACAAACTAGAGTCATCAGAAGAAGGAGCCTCAGCTGAGGAAATGTCTCCATGAGATTCAGCTGTAAGGCATTTTCTCATTTAGTGATCAATGGGGACAGTCCAGCCCATATGGTGGATGGTGCCATCCCTGAGCTGCTGGTCTTGGGTTCTATAAGAAGGTGGGCTGAGCAAGCCAGTAAGCACCACCCCTCCATGGCCTCTGCATCATATCCGGCCTCCAGGATTCTGCCCTATTTTCCTGACTTCCTACAATGATGAACAGCAATGCTGAAGTGTAAGCCAAACAAACCATTTTCTTCTCAACATGCTTTTTGGTCAAGGTGTTTTGTCACAGCAATAGAAACCCTAGCTGAGACACCACATAAGGATGGGAAATACATAGGGCATCTGGATCCTATATGTTGCTTTGTTGACTTTGAATTTTTTAAATGCTGATGAGCAAACAGCAGCTGCTGAGAGACATTGGATTGTGGAAGTAACTCCTGAATTAGACCAGTGTATAAACTTTAGGGATGTCTTGGCTTCAGAATGGAAGTTGGGAAATGTGTTGCATTGGGGGAGAGGTTGTGCTTTTGTTTCCACAGAAAACAAAAAGCTATGGATTCCTTCAAACTTAATAAAGATCAGATGTGACTGGGGGAGACCTCCTGAGGATCTTGGCTACAGATGTGAGGGAGGAAGTCAGAAAAACTACAGGACAGGTGATATGTGTGCCAATTTCTCTCCATGGAAAGAGCTCTGAAATTGGATGAGACATGATAAATCTTGTTGGCTACAGAGTCCTCTTAGCAGTTTGGTTATACAGTTCAAATGGACTTATAAAGTTGACAGATGTCTTTTATCTGCTCAAACATAAAACAAATCATCTTTAGCTGACTTGTGCACACCACACCAATCCATATTTATGTTTGTTGTGGCCATGTCGCGAGACCCCCAAGCAAGACCACCACAGAGTCAATATCCAATGCAAAACACACAAGGGTTTATTGATAACAAGCAAGCCTGGGCTTGGTCTGTGCCCAGCATCTGACACAGCAGATGGAGGAGGAAGGCCCTGAGCTCTCAGGGTGAGGGGTTTTTAAAGGGAAAACCCACAAGCAGAGTGGTACAAGACTTTGCATCATATTATTGGGTGAGGAAGTGTAAACTTTGAATTTACTGGTTGGGGGTTACAGTTACCATTTGGCGGCAGGCTGGGACAAGTCCCAGCACATGTCTTTGAGCTGCCATGGAGGCTGGCTGGCTTGCACATACTGACTGTGGGGGCTGACTCAGTGGTCCAGGCTCTGTCCTTGAGCTGCCATGGAGGCTGACTGGCCTCCACATTCACATTGACGCATGCATGTAGCTCTAAGTTGGTGAGGGGTCCCAGACAGTAAACAACTGGCTGAACCTTGAGCAGTCAGAGTACATGTAGAAAGGGAGCTACTGCAAGGACTATGTCTTTTGTTTATGGCCCTCCCAGAAACTGCTTGCTTAAGTCTCAGGAAACTGAAATTGAGGCCTGATCTCTGAGAGAAGACTGAGCAGCCTGTTATGGCATCTGCTTGGTCCTTTCATTGCCCCCTTAAGTTGTATATCATCTCCAGTCTTGGAGATGTTTCTTTTTGGTAAAAGACTTTATCACCAGAGTAGTAGATTAGTTTGGATACTAACTGGATTAGGACTTAAGAGTTTTCCTATTATCAATGGCGATGTGAGCTTCCCCTTATTCAATTGTTGCCATATGCAAGTGTGTCATGGGTTCAGGGGTGGATATTGGGATTCTAGCCTCATCGGTTTAGTGGTACCCAGACACGAATCATCATTTAGTTAAGACATCAGTGACATAAGAGCCAACAGTAATTAGCAGAAGCACAAGGGCCAAAATCCCTGTAATGGCTGACAGAGTTCCTTATCCTGAAGGAACTTGGAAATGAGAATGGGGACCAGTTATTACTTTATCTCAGGTTCCCTATGACAATAAATTCCCTTTTGAGCTAACATTCTGGGGGAAAACAATGTTTTTTGCTTCTGTAATTACTTCCTGCTGATGTTGGGACATTGTTGTCAGGACCCTGGAAAGCCAAAATGTTAGTCAAAGGCAAGGAGGGAACATTTTATTGACCAGCTGAAAAGGTGGCATTTATATCAGCTGGATTGGTCTGTATCAGCTTTCAGCAAGTTCAGGGCTCATCAGCAAATGATGCTTGAATGTATCTGTCAGTCAAGTGGAAACCTGTTGAGACAGATATAAACTAGGAATGGGAGTTAAAATTTATGAACTTATTTGGAGATTTCAGACCCACAGTCTCAGTAATTGTAGTATTATCAATTTGCCTTGGAATCCATACTGTCTTTTCTATCTAGAGAGCAAGGTATAGATTGGACTGAAATGTCTTTGGCTTAATGAAAAGCATCTGTAAGTCTATATTCATAACCTATTTCTCTCTCTCTCTCTCTCTCTCTCTCTCTCTCTCTCTCTCTCTCTCGATTTAGTAGCTTTAATTAATTAATGCATTGATCAATTAATTAATAAGGTGGCTGCAAACTTATGGAAGACTCTGGTTGTCTGATGTTACTGTCCCTAGTCTATATCTGTCTCAACAGATTTCCACTTGGCTAACAGATACCATCCAAGCATCAGCTGCTGACTACAACACACTCCAAATGACTGCAAGTCCTGGACTTGCTAAGAGGTGATGTGGACCAGTCCAGCCAATGCGAATGCTCCCTGTCTCTTCTTCTGAGTCAGTGAACCAGATGCTTCTGATGAATGACCCATTGCCTGAATTCCCTCCTTGCCTTTGACTACTATTCAGCCTTTCTGAGCCCTGACAACAATGTCCTACTTTCAGCCTGAAGTAGTTACAAAAGAGAGTACATTACCCCTTGTCCCCTAATGGGCTAGAATGTTAAATCAAAAGGAAACTCCTTGGCACAGGGGAAAAATAGCTACATATAATGTCTATTGGCATACCAGGAAAGGTACCTATTAAAACCAAGTAGACTCAGATCTATCAACAGGAAGATTCAATTAGATGAAATAGTATATAATATGATAGGGCGCTCAACCTGCTCTATGTAAAACAGAGAGGTTATTATATAGCTTTAAGAGAAAATTGCTGTTTCTATATAAGCCACTCAGGAATTATTAGAAATAATCTGGCTGTACTTGAAAAAAAAATCATTGCAAAAAAATGAGACCTGAGATGAAGTAAATAACTAGTTCCCATTCTCATTTCCGGGTTCCTTCTAGATAGTAACTCTGATGTCAGCCATCACAGGGCCTTTGGCCCTTCTGCTTATGCTAATTGCTGTTGGCTCTTGCATCACTGATGCTTTAATTAAATTATAATTCCTGTCTGGGTGCCATTAAGCTGATGTTTATTGGATCCAAATATAAACAGGTACCCATCACAGAGTCAAGGATTTGACTCAGGATACAACTATAGGGGAGAATGTGAGAGCCAAGTTACAGTTCAAGTTTTAATTACTATGCCTAAGAGATTCATGAAACAAAAATTTCTCTGATCTGGAAACCTCTTGCTCAAGAACAGATAGTTCTTCAAATGCTAGAGGCTACATGCCACATGTTTTTCACTCCCCTAAACAAGTTTGTTTGACCCATCTGCACCAGATGTACTTGATTGCATTGTGATCCAAAGGTTCACAGGCAGAAAATATGTCAGGATGTATGCTTGTCCTTGATTGGGTGTAGGCTGCAGGTACATCAGGATGTATGCTTACCCCTGATTGGACCTTGTGATGATATTGTGTTTGTGATCTAACAAATAAAGCTTGCCTGAAGATCAGAGTGCAGAGCTAAGCCTCTAGTTATCCATAGAAGCCAAGCAGCGGTGGCACACACCTACAATCCAGCACTTGGGAGGCAGAGGCAGACAGATTTCTGTGAGTTCAAGGCCACTTTGGGCTACACAAGATTGATCCAATCAATCTAAAAGAGAAATAGAGCCAGGCAGTGGTGACACACACCTTTAATCCCAGCACCTGGGATCTCATGGCTTTGCTCCCAGTACTTGGGAGGCACACACACCTTTAATCCCAGCATTAGGGATGTTGAGACAGGAAGTGATATGGCTGGGTGGAAAAAGGAAGATAAGGCGGGAGGAGACAGGAACTGAGAGCTCTTTCAGGCTGAGGATTTGGTAAATGTAAGAACTCCAGTGTCTGGGTGCTCTGCTTTTCTGATCATTTACCCCAATATCTGGCTCTGGGTTTTTATTAAGACCAATTAGGATTCATGCTACAGGACCTGATGGGAAATACTTAAGCTACTGCAAAACTTGAATTGGGGCCATCTTGTGGAAACCCAGAGATGGACCTGGCCAGAGCCCATCCACCTGGCCAATATCTTGCTTCAAAGTTGGCTTTAAATTGTAGTAGTGGTCTTATTCTTGATTGGTGGGATTACCGCAGGGATTTGGGGAATTCTTTTTAAACAGCTTCTTTTCTTTTTTTTCATTCTATTTTTCAGTATGTGTGTGTGTGTGTGTTGGGGGGACAACTTTGTGGAGTCTGTTCTGCTTTCCACCATATGGGTTCCTGCTTATCAGGATTGGGGCCAAGTGCCTTTATCCACTCAGCCATTTTACCTGCCCAGGATTTTTTTCTTAAAATTTTTTATGGATCTCATAAATTATAGTAGATATTTGATTCATGACTTCAAAATAAATTTCATTTCTACAAAGACTTATTAGCATGTTAAAGAGATATTGGACAGTATATTCTTGTATTTTGGAATGTGTTCATTGCTCAAAATCTGCCATCTAAGCCCTCATGGAAACATAAGAATGTTTCCAGTTCTTTTTCTTTTTCTTTTTCTTTTTTTTTTTTTTTTGGTTTTTGGTTTTTGGAGACAGGGTTTCTCTGTGTAGCTTTGCACCTTTCCTGGATCTCGCTCTGTAGACCAGGCTGGCCTCAAACTCACAGAGATCCGCCTGCCTCTGCCTCCCAAGTGCTGGGATTAAAGGCATGCACCACCACGTTATGGTATTATGGTTGGCAGTCACTAACATTTGTACTTAATAGAAAAGACAAAGAGGCAAATATTTTTTATTTTCCATGTGGTTATTATTAATCACTTTCAATTTCAGAGGACAGAATGCCAGAGAAAACCATTGACATGTGATTAGGTGTGTGTAATGTAGTCCTGCTGAATATCATGTCACAAAGCCCCATGTGTGACTACAGAAATCAGGGAGCTGTAGTCTTAGCTGTGTAGCTCCCTGAAGTTGAATGTGTGAATTAGCCTTTCTGTGTTGTTTCCTTATCTATAAAATGGGGATAATGATTGGGTGAGTATTGTTGAAGAGACAGAAATATCAAGTGGGTTAATACTCCTGAAGTGTTTAAATGACTCTCCAGATAATCCAAAGTTTGTGAGAGCCTATTAGTCAGCCCCTGTTCTGAACTGAAATATCTGCCTAATAGTATTTATTTTATTCAAGGTACTTCCCTCTCCATGTGACACCCTCTATGGTCAACATTCCCTGCTACTTTGTAGTGCATTTGTAGTTCTGCCACCTTCCAAATGGATCACTTCACCTACATAACAAACAGGTAAAAATTTAAAATAAGTTGTATGGAGGTTTTCCAATTGGGTCTTTAAGAAATAAATACCTCTACTACTTAGGTTTCAGATCCAAGCATAAAACTCTGCCCAGGTAGCTCATTTATTTGGCACAACAGCGTTTTCCACCCTGTTTCCAGTTCTGTTTCAAGCACATTTTTTCTGTAGTCCACTGCCTCAAACCTGCCTGGGCAAGGAAGAGGGTGTGGGCAGAGTGTTATCCAAGCCATCACCAATTGCAAACACAGCTTGCTGATGGAACTTGCCTAGTAGAACTGCCTTCACCCAGTTAGGAAGCACATTCCACAGAGTCTTGTGGAACAGTGGGAAGCTGGTAGGAAAGCTTTCCTGACAAGAGCATTCAGTTTGTAGGCCGCTTAAACCTTCTGTATGGGCAATGACAGTGACAATGGCAATGACATTATCTACATGCCTAGTTACTAAAGGACATCACCTCCTTCCTTCTTACTAAATGAATCAGTGGGATCCCTCAGTGAGATTTTCTTATTTTCATTATTGCTACATACAAAGATTGGAGTTGAAAAAAGATCTAAGTTGCTTCGTAGTGTTAATGTGAACTGTAAGTTTTGTGTCAAAGAAGATATTTGCTCACCCAAAATACCTCAGTATACTTTATATATTGCACCTAACTGAAGCCAGTTATCTCAAGGTGGAATGTACAGTAAGGAACAATTACAAAATGGACACATCAATGGTTCCTCATCTTCTATATATAGATTGTTTTGTGGGGAGTGAGCTCAGTTCCTCACACATGTTAGTTAATTACTACACCACCAAGCTATATCCCCATCCAGCTACAAATAGATGTTTAAGGTTGTACTCACTCTGGCTTAAATTATAAAGTATCATGCATAGTTTTCTTTGGAAATGTGCACATTTTAGGAAAATGCAAACAGGAATGGCAGTTTCTATTCCACCAATTGTTCTGCTTAGAGTTTCTATTGTTTTGTGTGCAACTTTTATGTTCCTATCTCCTTGTATATTTAAAGAAGTCAAATGTGGTTTTTTGGACATAAATGGGCATTACATGTATATTATTTTTCATTTTGCTTGTTTCTTCTAAGATCATATATATTAATCCACTCTTCGTAATGGCCATGTGATATTCCACTACACTATTAGAGAAATCATAATTAAACTGAGCATTCCTCTGCTTTCTACACTCATTACATTATTAATTTTTTCCATTTTGGAAATACTACTAAAATAAATATTACTTTATATATGATATTATAAACTCTTATCTTACTATTAATTTTAGGAAATGAAATTCCTTGTCACAAAAATGTGAACATTTTAACTTGTGAAAAATTGTGAGCACAGTCCTAATATACAGCACAATACCTAATTATCATATGAGCAGTAATGGGAGAGCATCTGCAGGGATCTGTGTCAAAGGTCATGCTTGAGATAGGTCAGGCATCCAGGCTTAGAGACAGCTTCCAGATAAGGTCAGGCAGAGACCAGGAAGCCCTGCTAGAGGAAGGAAGTCCTCCATTTGGTGCCAAGCTCAGAAAGCTGTCCAGACATGGTAGACTGCAACCTTAAGTGCAGGGTACTCTAACAAAAGATATTGCCAAATTGCTGTCTAAAACATCTTATATTTGGCTAGTGATTAAGAGCACTGGCTGCTCTTCCAGAGGACACTTGTTCCATTCTCAGCACCTACATGACAGCTCACAACTATTTAGAACTCCACTTCCAGGGGGTCCATTGTCCTCATCTGGCCTTCACACAGAAGAGGAGCGCCAGACATGGATATGGTGCACAGACATACATGTAGGCAAATAATAAAATAATTTTTCAAACCATATAATGGATATTCCTGTCATAGTCATGGATTTCCAGGAGCTTTTCATTCTTTAAGATTTATTTTATTCCAGATTATGTGTCTCTATGTCTATGTGTGGATATGTGCATGCAAGTGCAGGTCCTTATAAGAGGGCATCAGACCCCTTAGAGTTATAAACAATCAGTCACCCAGTGTGAGTGCTGGGAACTGAAATTGGGTCCTAAGCAAGAACAGTATACTCTTAACCACTGAACTGTCTCTCCAGTCCTTCCTATATTCTGACCTATAGTATCTAGATTATTTAAACACAATTTTGAGACAGCAGGGGCAAGGTATGAGTACTTAGTGATTGTTAAACCATATCCCATTTTTGTTTTCCCGACTTCTGTTCCTGATTTGACTCTGTGCTTCTTCAATCTCATCTTCAGATTTGTTGTAATGAAGGAGTGGATCTTCAGACTGACTGGCTTCCTTTGCAGCCTTTTATCTCTGGTATTTGGAATAATCCTCTTAAGCAGCCGGTACTGGCGCCTCTGGGAATTCGATAATAAGGTGGTTAAGCTTGTGTACATTGGACTCTGGAAAGCTTATTACCATCAGGAGTTTAACATCTCTGGCTCTGTGACCAGGGTTCTGGTGCACAGCCCTGTCAACTTGGATTGGACCATTTCACCTGAATTTCGGTATGCACAGAACCTGATAATAGTGTCAATTTTGATCAAACCTTTTGTCCTGGTTTTCAACTCAGTGGCCATTAGAATCAACATTATCAAAGCTTCAATCCCTGAGGTTCAGATACTCTGCTACAAGTGCTGTGTCTTAATTCTGCTTCTCAGCAGCCTTTGCACAACTCTTTCTGTGACCTGGAACGAGGCAGAAGATCTTCATGGTGAAACCACTCTTGACTTTCCACCCACCTTTCCTGTTCGGAAAGAAGCACTGATAAAGAAACACCACACTCGTGTGTTCCCCATAGGGATCCTGACAGCCACGCTGTCACTCCTTGCTATGATTATATTCCTCTTTGAGATCAGGTCATTGGAACGACAGAGTAAGCTGAAGGCCTATCGTGCTTCCAAGCAGGCCCATCAAAATGTCTGAAATGAGAGCTCTGCTGTTTTCAAAATATGCCAAGAGAATGCTTAAAGATATTTCTCATTCACACACAATACTCATGTAATCATCAACTTGCTCCAAATAAAACATCAACCTGGTTTTTGGGTGTCTTTCCAAAATATGTATTCTCAGTTGCGGAATAATCTTTTTGTACACTGTGAAGATGTGTCATTCTGATTGGTTTAATAAAAAGCTGATTGCTACTTGGCCTTTTGGCTAAGATCAAGTGTAAAAAGCTGAATGGCCAATAACTAGGCAGGATTTTCAGTCACACAGGGCTCTGGAAAGAAGAAGGAAGGGGGAGTCGCCAGCCAGGTGGAGAGGAAGCAGCATGGGCATTACAAAGTAAAGTTAACTGAGCCATGTATAGGAACATAGATTGTAGCTAGAGTTTTCCTGCCTTGCCCACAGTCAGGACAAATCTCTGTCACCCGCCAGTCCCACAGCCGCTCAGACCCAACCAAGCAAACACAGAGACTTATATTGCTTACAAACTGTATGGCCGTGGCAGGCCTCCTGTTAACTGTTCCTATATCTTAAAGTAACGCATTTCTACAAATCTATACCTTGCCACGCGGCTCGTGGCTTACCAGCATCTTCACATGCTGCTTGTCCTGGCAGTGGCTGGCAGCGTCTCCTTCTGCCTTCCTGTTCTTTTATTTCTCCTCTGTTAGTTCCGCCTATACTTCCTGCCTAGCCACAACCAATCAGGTTTTATTTATTGACCAATCAGAGCAACTTGACATACAGACCATCCCCCAGTACAGCCAAGTGCAAACCATCTCAGACACCTGCACTCAGGCCCATGGTCCTAATCATCCTCTATGCAAACCTGCTGGGTAACGCCACAAGGAACCCAAGAAGGGCTCCCACAGGACATACATTAACATCCCACAGCAATAGATTAAAAGATATGTGTTAATTTAAGTTATAAGAGCTAATTAGAAACAAGCCTAAACTATTGATAGGCCAAGCTTTTATAATTAACAATAAGTCTCTGTGTTGTTATTGGGGAGCCAGTGGTCCCAATGGTAAGGTCCAACTACAAACGGTGACAAATGTGGGGCACATCTTTCCACATAAGACCTGAAAAAGATTTTTGAAAGGTTCCAAACATACAAAAATGGAGCCAAACATGGCTTCCTAGTCCTGAAGTCTGTCACTAGGGCCATAGTACAGAGACATGTCTCCCAGCCACAGCCTATGTATGGGCTTGAGCCACCAGCATGTCATGAGCTAAGCTTCACAGTGGTTTGAGTTTCACCCATACAGACAGAAAAGATTACAGATATACGGTAAAGCAGGTTCAGATGGAAAATAAAAACTCTGAACAGTTTACAGTGTATTTAACAATGTGGGTAGATGTAAGAAAAAAAAGAAAAGGAGTATAGACAACCATGAATAAATAGTTTAAAAATACTAAAGTCTTTAAAGAAAGAGTAAAATAAAAAAAGAATAAGCCACATGGAGGTGGTAAATACACAGAGAGTCTGGATCCTGGATGTTATTGTATCATCTTTGATTATTTTGATTACTGATAAGCAAACAACAGCTGCTGTGAGATATAGAATTGTGAAAGGGACTGCAGAAATAAACTCACCTAGAAATTTTAAGAATGTCTTAACTTCAATATACAACTCAAAAATATGTTACATTGGGGAAGAGGTTATGGTTTTGTTTCCACAGAAAACAAAAGGCTGTGGATTCATTCAAGGTTGATAGAGATCAGATTTCATCAGGTAGGACCCCCTGAAAATCCTGGCTACATACAAGAAGAAGAGGAGGAGGAGGAGGAGGAGTCACCAACCAGACATGGACGAAACAGGAAAGCAACATGGGTAGTACATAGTAAAAGTAATAAAGCCATAAGACCAAAAGGAAATTAATAGAAATGGGTTGTTATAAGAGCTAGTTAGAAACCATCCTAAAACCCAGAATAGGAGCTAGAGAAATGTTGCACGAAGATGAACACCAGTACCTATGTCAAAAGTCAGCACTACAGGGGAAAGAGGTGGAGGTACAGTCAGGAGAATTGCTGGGCTTGTGGTTTGTCAACCTAATTCCATGTTCAGTGAGGTTCTGTCTCACGGGAATAAAGTGGAGAGTAATTTAGCAGGACACCATCTGGTCTCTGCACCCTGCCATATGTGCAAGTACCACACATACATATACCACATGCATACAACTATACCTGGAAAGCTATAGAATATTAAGATTGAAATTATTTTAATTGATTCCAGTTATAATGATGCAATGATAAATTATTCTTGCAATGTCCCTTATTTATAATATTGCTAAAATGATGGCATAACATTAAATATCCTTAAAACATACTTCATAAGTTCTATACTTATGTTTAGAATGAAGAGTTATCAGCACTCGTGAACCTATGCAGAGCACACACATGTGCACAGCAGATACTGAGACAAAGGCTGAGCTTTCATAATTCTCTGTGTGGTTATTTGGGAGCTCGCAGGAAAGACAAAAAGTCCAACTACACCTCTCTGCCTGTCACTTGCATTCCTTTCTTTAAATATTTTCACATCCTAAACTCTGCAGGTCATGAACATGTCTTCAGATACTGACAATAAGCAGTAGCAGGTAAAAGTACTCATGAAATGTATGTTGCAAAAATGAACACAGCAAATACCAGGTGAAAGAAGGTTTGTAAGTAACCTGGCACATCAATACAGAATATAAAACCATATCCCTGTATGGAGACACTTAGGTTCTCCTATCTCTGGACTGTAAAGCTGGACATCTTAGCCTAGTACACATGGATGTCAGAAGGGAATGTTAGATCCTCTGAAACTGGAGTTACAGATGGTTGTGAGCCACCATATGAGTGCTGGGAACTGAGCAATAGTGCTCTTAATTATTGAACCATCTCTCTAACCCAGTTTCTATTTTCTTTTTATCTTTCTTCTTTTCTTTTTTGAGACAGGGTCTCACTATGTAGCCTTGGGCTTGTCTGGAACCCACCTGCCTCTGCCCCCTAAGTACTGAGACTAAAAGTATGCATCACCATGCCTGACAATCAGCACAGTTTCTTTTCTTTTTTTATTGTTTATTTAGTTAGTTGTTTATTTAGTTAGTTAGTTTGTTAATTGTTCTTTGGGTTCCATAGTGGGGAGGTCTGTAGACCCACTAAGATATAGGAACTCATATAATTTTTCATATGGGAATAGGTCTGCTTTCCTTTTTGGAGCTGTTCTAATCCTAAGTAAATCTATTGACAATACATAGTAATATTGTTTTAAGTATAAGTTTAGCTACATATTTCTTTTTTTTTTTTTTTTTTTTTTTTTTTTTTTTTTTGTTTTTTTTTAAAGATTTATTTATTATGTATACAGTGTTCTGCCTGCATGTATGCCTGCAGGCCAGAAGAGGGCACCAGATCTCATTACAGATGGTTGTGAGCCACCATGTGGTTGCTGGGAATTGAACTCAGGACCTCTGGAAGAGCAGCCAGTGCTCCTAACCGCTGAGCCATCTCTCCAGCACCTAGCTACATATTTCTTAATCATTTATTCATTCTATTTTCCCAGATGGTGAATGGGGAATAGTAGTCTCACCTTAATATTTTAACTTTTCATAATTCCATGAAATACTTCAAATGATCACCATTGTCTGAATGGATATTTTCTACAAGGCCAACCTGTTTTAAGGTAACCTTAATCACACTACCAGCACTAATATCTGGGAGATAGAAGGTCTCTACTCACCCAGAGAGGTGGTCCACTATCACCTGTAAGTTTGCTTTCCTCCCCTAGGCATTTCTTTGAAGTTCCACTGGACACTTTGAAAGGATCTCAGTCCAGAAGTTCTCCTACCTGGAGTTTTTCATTACTTTTTTGCTTATCCTTTGTCAAGTTACATATCCCACACACACCTGTTTAACAGTGGTGGAGATCTCTACGCAACCATTACTTCAAAGTATTTCATCATACATGGCCTTGGCTCCCCAGTGACTTCTCTTCTTTTTGGATGTGCACTTGTTAGAGTCCAAATTCTGGGAACTCCATGGCCTTTCTGATCAAGAAGACATGTGACTTATCAGAGGAGTCCCATCATCCCTTGAGTCCTGTTTGACCTTATAGAATAAGAGCCAAAATATTGGCTGTCCTTTCTGACTCTCTTATCCTCATTGAAGTAGGTCCTTATGCTTGAATATACAGAAGGAGAGCTTTAGCAGTCTCATAATTTTAACTGCTGTGCAACATATAACTAAATCTCAGATAAATACCACAATTTAATTTCCCCAGTTGGTTAAAACCTAACAAAGCTAACAAAACACAAATAATTATCTTAATTAGACACACATTCTCTGCTCTTTTAAGTCAGATTTTGTAAATGTTACCATAGGTGGGTCAAAATAAACTCAGGGATTTTGATAACCTTCAGTTATCAAACATATATCAACATAAGTGCCTCCACAAACCTTGTTCAACTTAATTAGAAATTTTGCGACTTCACTTTGAACCTTCATGGTTTTGTCCTTTTATTTTATTATCTTTTATCTTTTATTCTTAGGACAAAATTCTTATGTAATCATAACAAATCCATCCTTATCTAAAATATTCCTTTTTTAACCCTTTTCAAAAAAATATAACCTCACCCTTGAATCCTTCTAAATAGTTCTTTCACCTACTTACTGTTTTTTCTTCATTTTCCTTAACAAATTACACATGTGGCACATGGTAGCAAATTAAGATTAGTTGTAGACGTATTTTTAGCTACCAAGAATTTTTTCCTGTGTGAGTCTCAAACAAATCTCCTCTCTACTTGAATTCTCTCTCTCTCTCTCTCTCTCTCTCTCTCTCTCTCTCTCT